TGGCAGATGTTTTTTCTCTGTCAGAATATTTCTCTCCCTTTTAGATTAAAGCTCTTCTACTTTTTTCAAAAATATTTTCAATTCTTACCCATTCAGAAATATTTACCCATGTTCCACCTTTAAAAAAAAAAAAGCAATACCACCTCCCACCTTCTCATGCTCAAATTCTCTAAACCAAGCTTCATTTTTTCTCACCCTTATTAACACCTGACATTTTATATATACATGTATATATACGTGACATTTCATATACACATTGCATAGATGCATATATTCATTTTAAGTCTTAAAAAGGGAGTCTTCTTTACCTTTAAAATTTTTAAGCCATAACAAAGAGAGAACATGCTCTAAAGCTTTTCAAGTTAACTGTTCCCAGCAAAATTAGAAAATAAATGCAAGATGCCTCATGTTTCATTTGGAGATTGAATAAATAAACATGTGAAGAGAGACTTAAATATGCTCCACTCATTCCCCTGCCTTTCACAGTGGAAGTCAGAAGATTTACTCACAGTTGCATGAGGCAGTGGCTACAGATGATAGCAAAACTGAGTCTGGGGCCCACTTCTTCACTCCAGCACAGTGCCCCTTCACAACATGCCACTTCTTACTTACGCACTTTTGTCCTAAAGTTTCTCAATACAAAATATTCCAGACACAGCTTACCTCAATACAGAACCATAAGAATGAATGTGCATTTGTTTCATATTTCTGTAAATATTGCACCTAAAAAAATTACTGAATATTATATGAAGTCATATCTTTATTATTTCTAAAACTTAGTAATAGCTATCCTTGTTGCTATCATTGGTTTTTGAACACTCACTCTGGTCTGAGGACTTTAGCTCAGTGTCACCATTCCTCACAACAAGCCCGCAAGGTAAATTTTATTAGTCCCATTGCTCAAATGAAGACAATGGAATTCAGTGTGTCACAGCACATGGTCAATGTCACACACAACCTCAAAAGAGCCATGACCTTCTGTGGATAACAATGAAGAACTCGAATAACCACTGATGTAATTGAGCTTATCTGCTTATGTGAAATTTTCCATGATCATGGTAGCAAGTGGGATTCCAAGCCAATCTCTGACACTCCAGTGAAACAAGGTGACAGTAACAAGGTATGTTGGAATGCATTGTTAGGAAAGAAACATGTCTCTATTTATTTGACTAGGACACAGAATACATCAATCCTTGCAATAGAGGAGTAAAAGAAAAGCAACCACCCGACATGTACAATTCAGATAATCTCTACACTAGAAATGCAAAGAGGGAAGAACAAAACATAAGATGAAAATGTAACATTTGCATTTGTTTTCTCGGTTTGCTAAGAACAAGCATCTTAGAAAGCTTTACAATTATAATTAACTATTACGCATTCTCTGGCTTTGAGATGGCATAAAAACATTTAAAAGCAAGAGAAAAGCCCATTGTAAGGGCTTAGAAAGCAAAAAGTGAGTCTTTTAATTTTTCTTTCATCTGATGTTAATTTATGCAGAAGTTAATAACATATTTGTGGCTCCAAGCTGCCCATTTCGGAGAAGATTTCTCTCTCAACCCGTCTTTCTTGTGATCTCTGCCAGACAGAGCCATCATTTCAGGGCTTGTGACACTTTTGCCAAAGAAAGGGTATATTCTGGTAAGTCCACATTCCATAGATACACTTAATTGTGGATCCTCTGAAAAGCTATGATATTAAACGATTTGATTCTTCTCTAGCTTGTTAGAAACAAAAGAGCAAGCAATTGGAGGAGAGGGAGAAGAGGAAATTGGATGAGTGGGTGCATAGGTAGATAGCAAGGGAGAGTATTGACTGCTGAGGGAGAAAAAACATCAGGGGAAGGAGAGGTTGCATAAAAGAAACATGTCATTATTTTTATATCCAAGCAGGCTATAATTAAATTGTTGTGTCTTTTATAAATGAAAAACCGAATTCCACTGTTGCCAAATCACCTACGGAATAGAGACAATAGTGCTTGAAGAAATGCAGAGTCTTCAGAAGTTGATGTTTTAAACGATATCACCATGAATAAAGTACGTCCCGTAATGACAGCTTAAAGGTCTACTTCATAAAAATGTTATTAAAGAACATTATTTATACCTGCTTTTTTGTGGACTTCTGCTCTTATTCATGACTCTAGCAGCGTATGGTCATAATCACAGCAAGAGTGTATAATGGACACATTAATTCAATATGAACTAAGGCAAGAATACTGTGTCACCACAATAAAACCCCAGATATATTCATGTAAAGGTAGAATTTATTGCACAAGAGCAGTCTCTTTTTTCCAAAGAAATGAAAAGAATGTCTTCCATCTTATGGCCTCGAACATCTACTTTTATTCTGAGGCTCACTATAAGACTGATTAATTGATATAAACTTTTAAATGAAATATTCGTTCATCTAAATTAAGAAACTTAGAGACCTGGTTACTGATTTGTGATCTTATAGTGACTCTGTCATTGAATTTTGATACAGATTATGAGTACTTACAAGTACTTTATATTTGACTAACCCCTTTTCTGGTACATATCATCAGAAGGCAATGATGTTTAGCAAATGCCAATCCAATACTCTGGCTCGTGTTTATTTTAATAAGATGGAAAATGCCCTGCTACATAAAATTTTCCCAGAGAAACTGAAAGTAATAATGCTTAAATCAAAAGAATCTTTATTCAGGATTTTAAACACAATTTCCATATTTAATATGTATGAAGCTCTAAGAGATGGCGGTAACATTTAATTGGATTATTTCTAGCTCTGAAACTATCAAAATTAGACTTCTTGACTTTCTGTTTCTGATTGGATGATCTGTGGTGGTGCAATGCAGACACACTTAGACAGAGTGTGAATATGTTTCTGACTTCGACACTAACATATCTCTAGGAGTCATGAAAAGGAGTTCTTTATAAATTATACTTCCAGCACTGAAAGAAAATGTTGTCTTTGATCTGGTAGGTAAAAAAAGGGTCACCTAAGGGAATGAATTAATTCCGATATTTAATAAGATGCAGTCATTAGTAGGCAACTTAAGCATTCACACTAGAACTACTCATTGAATTTCTTCAGCATAGTAATAATCTCATAATCATGCTGGGTAATGAACATCTTTGAATGCCTAGCATCTATACTTAAAAGACAAATGACAAAGAGAAAAACATTTCAGATATAAGGTAAACAACACTATTAATTGAAGTAAAAAAAAAAAAAAAGTATTTCCAACATTAACTGTACTTCAGCTGTTTCAAACCTAAAAGAACTGAGTATTCTATTTTAACAACTCTTATACTTCTACATAGTTTTGTTATTTGAAATGAGTACACTTACCAGGAAAAGGTCCAGGAATGTCCAGGTGTTACATGGCTATGGCTGGGCATTTGAAGTTCCATCTGCCCCTCAGAACAAGGCTATCAGGTCCCTGAAACAGAAATCTTTCGCGAAGTCTGCAGGCAACACATATTGTTGAATGTGGTGTCCCGACTTACTGCAACCTCTGGGTGCAAAAATGGTTTGAGCACCCACACTGATACAACCACTCAGAAAGGGCTGTGGAAGTTATGTCCCCAACACACTGCCAGATACATGTCACCAGGCTCCAAATGCCTGCTGACAAGAGACAGATTTCAAAAACAGTTGAATCAAAATAAATATTGCTAATGGTTTTGTGTATTACTTCTAATGAAACTGAACATATGAAAAGGCAACAAAAAATAATAATTCTTTTAGCTTACCGGTATCTTTTCTCAGAAAATATGTTATAATTTCATTTATTACTCTTTCACTTTAGGCCCTAGACAATTGTTTCCTTCAGGAAATTTAAGCTATCTTCTTCATTAGTTTGTAAACAATATTAGCAGCCTACAGTTTTATGCATTTGCTATGAACCAGGCACTGTGCACCGTGCTTTGCAAACATTATCTAGCTTTGAAGGAGGTATTGTTATCTTACAAATGAGGTAAATAAGGGTTGGTAAGATTAAATCACTTGCTCAAACTCACAAAGCTATCTGGAGGCAGAATTGGCTCGACAGTAATCTCTCATTCCAATCTTAGTTTTTCTTTCCTACTAAATTTTTGTAAAGAAAGTATTTTAAATTTCTTCTCTAGAAAAAGAAGGGGAAAAGAAGAAAGCTGAGAAGAAAGTGACTTCTGAAACAAAAAAGAAAGGTAAGGAATTTAAAAACTGTTTAACACATAAATTGATTAATATCCATTTATAACGCTACTGATAAAGCTATTGTTTTCTAGGGGAAAAAATGTCCCTAATAATTTTATTGTTGTTATTATTAACACTCTTGAGACTTATAAATATTCCAAATAAAGTTGAAATTAATGAACTTTTTAAAAGAAAATTCAAGTCTAAACCTTTTTTAAAAACTCTGAGTATTTTTTTCCTTAAGAGTAGCTGTTCAATTACAATTCAGTACCTCACTTGACAATACATTTGAATATAATGACTACTATTTAATCCATTCTGTTTAATGAAAAATATCTTTCAAAAGAGCAGATTATTTCATGTATAGAGAAGAAACTAGTTGATAGGTTTGCTATGTTTTGTTCTTTTAGGATGGTTGTTTCATACAGTGTACCTGAAGTCCCAAGTGAGCCTCAGATATTTTTGATTTCCTGACATGTTTCCAGTGGACTGATAGCCCAGGGAACACTCAGTATAATTCTTTTAACATCCTTTGGAAAAACTATTGAGTTATATCATATTTATAATTAATAATGCCATTTAACATTTCTACTGCCCATGAAAGACTTGTTGACCTTAGCAATAATTTGCTTCCTTTTTGAAGAGAAAGCACATGAAAGCCACTATTCTGTTATGAGGTGCCAGTTCATTCATATTTTACATGATTTATGGCTCTGACTTAGAATTACTCTCTAAGAGATTACTTGGATGTGCCCTAACGGTAGACACGTGTGCCCTGATACGTAAGAATTAAACAGGTAAAGGTTTGTAATTTTCTCATTTTACTACCAGAAAAAGAAAAAGATGTCAAAAAGAAAACAGAGAAAGAAAGTGCCACTGATGTCAAAAGAAAAGGTATTGCATTTTCTTTGTTTCCTTGGTCATTTTATGTTCAGGATGTTTGCTTCAGAATGTTTGAAATAATCTTCGGGCAAAGTAAGCAAATTGGACCTAGGTACCTAAATCTGCCCATGTACAGATGTCAAAGAAAAAAATGCACTGGATAAAGTTAAACAGTCAAGGAAGACTTTATTCTAGGCCATAGCAAGAGACCAGCACTTATGCTGAACTCAAGTCCACTGAAACGAAGAACAGGAATATCTTTGAGAGCTGAAATGGAATGGGGGGTTTATAGGCCACCTGTGATTGCTAATTGTCCTTGCTCAAAGTAAAAGTAAAATTTCTCATCTTCATGACAGGAATGTGGTGTTACAACTTGGAACAAGGCATCCAAAGGAGTTAGGTACCCCCCCACACACACACACACACAAACTAGTAAATTGAGGTACTATCTTTCTTGATGATTATATTTCAAAGGAATGACTCCCAGGTCTCTGAGAAAAATATTCCTGGGTTGTAAAACTGTACAAACATTTTTTAAAAAGATTTATATCTGAAAGGAGCAGAGAAAGAATTTAAAATAATACGTTTTCTACATTAAATTCTCTAGGAAAAAGGAGGTCAGCAGTCTAAGGTCAAGACCAAGCCTGTCTTAAGTTTAGAGGAGCTGAGGAGAAGTTTAGGCCACATTGGTGAAGACATATGAAATTGAGAAGAGCTACATAGAATAATAACACCACTTAAAAAAATAAGAAGCTGAGAGAGAATGCATCCCATTAAGAAATAGAGTTGTTCAACAGCTTCAATTTTTGCCTTAAATTTAGTTCTTCTTAGTCTTGTTCAAACATGAATATTTTCTATTCAGGTTCAGCCTAAGTCTAGGTAGTAAAAAATATAGTCATCTCAAGTATTATGGTTTGGTGATAAGTGTTCTTACCCCAAATATTTCCTCCACTAGTGTCAGTGATGCTTGAAATTCCACTATGAGAGCTCTTCCATTCCTTTGAGTTATAAAGGAATTGTCCTCTATTAAAAAGCAAATTTCTTAGGGCCCATGTGTATGGGGTAACAGACTAATTCCACTCAACTTTTAACACTTAAAGTGAATGAGACTTCCAGATCATCCCTGTACAGTAATAAGCTGAAAACAATGTTCTAGAAAATGATGGAGAGGTTGAAGGGAAAATTTCAAGCTAGGGCATTGTCTGGGGACAGCAGGCCAGGCTGGATGGCATTAGTGAAAACCCTTCACTTCTTAGGATATAATATCATAAGTGGAGGGGAAAAGCTGAAGGTAAAGACCCTGAAGGAGATAATAAGATGCCAAACTAGACATTGATTACTCTGTTAGTAGCAAATAGGAATTCCAGAAAATCCCTGACATCATGCAATAAGTGGGGTAAAAAAAAAAGTAAAACATTGAATAGCATGTTTGCATGGCTCATGAAATATCCAATGAGAGATAGACAGGTGTTTTGTGGGTCTGGGAGTTGATTGCTAGTTACTTTGCATTTAAATTTTTATTAATAAATATATTATTGTAGAATCTATTGCATTATTAAACATTTATTCATTTTGTTTTATTAAACTTTATTTATTTCCCTAATGAAAAGGAAAACACAGTTCCGATTATGTGATAATATTATCAATGGGGAGCTCTCTTTGTTCCCACCAGTTTCTTGTGGTGTTACAAGAAAAGGAATTTTCTGAGACTTGAACACAAGAATGAGATATTGTAGAAAGCTTTATTTCTGTGGAATTACAACTCTGAATTTCCAAGGTCCCATTTCCCTTCATCCTGCCAGCTATGCTTTCAATGGGGCTAGAACTAAAGCCATTGCACAGTTTCCGTTCCATGTTGGAGCAGTGTCCAGTCCAGCATTAAACTAGCTTAGTTTGTGTTCCCAGTAGTAGTTCATCAGTCCATTGCATATGGGGTTTGCAGGGCCACATGGCTATGGAGGGAACACGGGCAACGGCAAGGGAGCCACAAGAGCGCCAAGAGTGCCAAGAGCCAAGAGAGTGAGCTCCTTTGTCTTGAGATTATGTATCCCCAAACTTTTGAAAGCTGGTAGTGTCCCTCCCCCTCTGGCCAATGTTCTCTGTTCCAGGTTTGGCTGACAAGCACCTTTTCTACATCACCCCTACTGACTGTGCATGTACTCATCGCCCCCTTTGTCCTGTCTCTTCCCCCAGTGATTTGCAGGAAATGGACTGTTGGTCCCTGGGGAGTGAAAAATTGCAGCTTTCTGGTGAAGCTGCCCACATGGCTATGCTTATAATGTCTATTCCTTTCCTATTATTAATAACTAGCTAATTACAACAGCATTAATGCTACTGAGAAACTGGTCATTGTTTGGGTCATTGTGTCTTGACAGTTACACGATTGAGTGCTAAAATGATACACACACACCCAAAAAAACAAGATTCTTCTTCTTAGACCATCAGTTTTACTAAAATATTTTCCCAAGAAAGTTTTGAATTGTAATCTTCAAAGTATTTGTCATATGTATGCACAATCAGAAAAGACTTTTGGCAATGGTGTATGCGTAGTAATTGTTTTGGTTTTCGTTTTTGAGGGGAAAGGCAAAACGTGCTCATGTGCTGTGAGTGATGGGAAAATCTGATACTTCTGTGCTCCCAGGACACCTGTGTTATTAGCCCAGTAGTCATGTAAAAGTGGGATTGTGCACCACTGGCAAGAGAACTAATTATACCAATATCTCTTCCTACAAGGCCAGTGCTCACCCATTGAAGAGAGACCGAACTGGGTGATTGCTCAGCTAATGTTGAAAACCAAGTTTGTCCTTCTTATAACCCGTTTTCTGTTTGTTTGTCATTTTTACTTTTGAATACACAAAATATTGTTGGCTCTTACAAATAAGTTTAACTTTCTAACGGAAATATGCGTAAATTATTTGTTTATAAGCTCTTAACCCTCAAATATTCAAAAGTGTGTGTGTGTCTCTGGGTGTGAGATAGACATTTAATTAGTGCTAGTATTTAACTTGCCTCTATTTTTAGAGTTTAATAATTCTCACAATATATTTTTAGTGAGAGCAATACGGTTTATAAGAAGTCAGTTTAAAACTTGTTATGAAAGTAGTAAAAATTTCTGGAAATAATTAGAGAAATTGATAATGACCTAAAATCTTATAAAGCTGGGGGCACATATGTCATTTCTTTCTAAAATACTCAGAGAAATATGGCAGAGCATATGATATTACTACTCTAGCCCCAAACAGTAGCAAATTTACAAGGTATTTGATATGCTGGATGCTTATTTAATGTATCCATTTTATCATGATATTTTATTATAATTATATTAATTTTTTATTATGTTGATATAACATACATTTATTTGTTATTTTATATTATTTTATTTTGTTACACTTATTTTTATTATTATGAAGATGTAAAGAAACTTAGGCTTAAATTCTATTATGAATTTAATGAGCCTCTATTGCATGAAACTGGTAAATCATACTTTACTAATAATGACCTTTGTTAGGGAAGAGTGGATTAGGCTCTACATGATAGAAAATCACCAGCCCATCAATTAATAATGGTTGAAACTGAGTAATTGTAATAATCTCTTGGAGAAAAAACAAAACAAAAACCGAACAAATAAATACCTGCCACTTAAAAAAATACGAAAAGAGAACAAAACATGGTTACATTGTTATGAGGTATGTTTCTGCCTGAAAAATACCATGAAAAAAAGCAATCAAGACAGAAAATCAAAACTTTAAAAATATACTTCCTTCTTTATGTAGCAGACTCCAGCACTAGGAGTACAAACCACTCTACTTAGTACAGGCATAAGGGCTTCTGTATAGAGAACCGGATGCACACATTCTTGAAAGGACTGGAAGAATTAAAACTAGGGGCTGCTGCTGTATTATTGAGCACCATGGCACATCACTGGTCAGGAAGCTGCTTCATTCATCAGTACTGTCTCCACAGCCTCCTTTTAACACCCACAGACTAGACACTGGAAATGCTGAGGCTAGCCTCAGTAACTTTCATCAAAGTGACTTGTTTGCCAAAGCATTACTGCTTTTCAATCTCCTGCGGGTGCATCTATTTGGTGGATTTAAATATGCTGCAAGTGAGTCAGGAAGATGCAGGTTTTTGGCATCCCAATTTTCTCTGCTAGAAAGGTAGAATGGAAGTTGAAAGAGACTATCCAAGGTATCCTCAATAAAGATACCTTCAGAAATATTTTAGAACATAAACTTCATACAATAAGAGTTGGTTTTGAAGGCCTGAATTGTACAATGATTAAACCTATCTATGAGCTTTTCCCCCACCCCAAAGCTGAAAAAGATGGTTCAATAATGCAACAAGATACAATTTGGAATCTACAGTGCTTGTAAGTCACACTTCAGTGTAGTTTGTGTTGTTCCTTACCTAAGCACTGGTATTCTTCCTCTCTTCATTCCACAAGGTGATATCCCTGAAGAAATAATTTTCGTAGTGCTTCATGAGATTATAATGGTAAAAATGAACATGTTGCATTTTCTTATGATAAAAAATTATTACCTGGGAGAGACTTATAGACCATCATAGAAATAAAGCCAAAACTAAGATGATTCATTTTTCTTAGACTGGCCTATTTGGAGGAGTAAGTTACTAAAAAAATTTTGGACTTTAATTTATTACCAACCTATGTGTTTGCAAGCCTGTTAATTATAAAGATAATTTTGACATAGTAACAGATAGGTAATGATGTAAAGTGATATTTCATTATCACACTTAACAACATGATTTTTTAAAAAGAATTATTTGAATAGAAGCATAAATTTCAAAAAGGACCCTTAAAAAACCGACTTTTCTGAAATAAACTGCGATAAAAGGGCAAGTTTACTTATTCATTTATGCTTGTAGAAAAGATTCACTAAATACCTGCTATACACCAAGCATTGTTCTAGGTGCTGCATACTCAGAGGTGGATAAGTGGACAAAAGCCTTTCCTTAATGGAGCTTACAGTTTGATAAGGGAGGCACAGGGT